TATATATATATATATATTATTCCTCTTAACGTTCTACAATATTTACTTGAAAATTGTATGGTACGATGTCGGCTTTATCTTAAAGATTATACCTTTTTTCCTCTTTACGAAATTACGATCTAATAACTTCCGCTGGGACTCTACGATCCACGCGAGTGTAATATAAAGATCGATCGTTTAATTCTATGCTCGGATAATCTTGATTTTCGATAATATTCATTTTCGCTCGATTAAGTATCCTTCGTGTCGTGTTCTATAAATCATTCGTATGGAGACTACGAGTTCTCGTATAAAGTATAATTAAGCATATGAAATTCGAGAGCTTGGACAGAGTGGCTTGGTATCTTTCAAATTTACCAAGCAGAGCAAATACGTAATATTCTTTTTTCTTTCTTTTTTTTTCTTTTATCATTTTTTTTTTTTCCTTTTTTATGCTTTCAACGTCTCGTCATATCTACGATATTATAGAAGACACGTTCGACACACGGAATGCAGAAAAAAAAAAAAAACATATATATAAAAGGGAGAGGAATAGTCTCTCCGGATAAAAACAGAGGTTAATCGGAAAATTATATATAAATCTAGCTTCTTTAGATATTTCCTACAATTTAACCACACAGCAACTATTATTCCATTTTTTGTTCAGTCTTGTGATTAATACTACTTTAATACTTTTACAATTCGTTATAGAGTCAACTGTAAGTAATATAATTCTTTATATATGTATAACCCCTCTGTGTACCGAAGAGCCGACCGTTTTGCTCGTTAACTCATCCGGCTCGATCCTTAAAAATTCGCGACATGATAAAAAGGATAAGCGTGGCGTTGCTACAGCGATAGTTGTGATTGCTTCGTGACAGAAAAAGAAGATGAACGTATACAATATTCCCGGGGGTTGAGAAAACGACGGACGTAGTACAGTAGAGCGTTACTATAATATAATATATTACAAATTCTGTTTCCGGCACGATGAAAACAATTCCTTGCATGTTGGGGGAAAATACAGCTATATTGTCATTGAATCGTGATTCCCGGTTAACTTTACATTGTTCAATGAATCTCTAATATGCACGGTAAACGCTCATTACCGTTGATCTTTTTGATTCTGAATACTGATTTGATTATCCACTCCGCAGAGCGCAACATGTGTACATGAAACAGAGAATAATCCATTTTAATATATTTCAATGCGAAAAACATTCGATATCGATTCTTTCATTTCTCTTTCTCTCTCTCTCTCTCTCTCTTTTTCCATTTTTCTTTCTTAATCTGCATATAATTCCTAGCATTTCTATTATTGCGTTCAGTATCACTGCATTGCATAATATCATATCGACCAACTCAACCAGCGCGTTATCATCCATTATTCTCGATGCAAGATTTCACTTGCGATCGGGAAATTTTACACGCATCATTTTTCTTTTTTTTTTTTTTTTTTCTTTATTGCTTATTTGCGCGATCTCACGAGTTAATTCATTCAAATGAGCAAGCAAAAAATTAAATTTAAATGCAGAAAAGACTCGCGGTTATAGCTCGCACGTATGTATAAATGTATACTTTTTTTCTTTCTTTTTCTTTTTAATGACGATCAAAAAAAACTTCGAAGCTGTGCAGACGTAAGAAGATAGGCCTAACTAATTCGATTCCTCTTCGATACGTCATACGACTAGCTCTTTCCTTTAATCGTCTACGATAGTTTTATTTTATAATATCATAATACGATAGTTTCATTTTATTTTATATCAAAAAGATCCTGCACCATCGAAGTAAAAATAAATATTCTTCGTTTCTTTTTTT